ATAAAATAAAGTATAAATAACTAAGAATTTGAGTCTCTTATAAACTGTGTTTCGTGTTTTGCTTTTGATCTTTTGACTTCTTGGAGCCTTCCATTTTTTTTAAAGTCGACCTTGTTTTTAAAGAAATGACATCTGTTTTTCTGAGTGTCCCTATTATGTGTGTGCATTTGATGATTTTACCCAATTAAATTGCAAGAGTGGTAACTATTTTTAGTGTAGTAAGTGGAATATAGAAAATATACTGTAATTTAAAAGTTTGTGTAGTTGCTTTGAATATTCTGTTAATAGATTTGTGATTATGCCTTTTTAGTAGATAAAAGGAAGTCTATAATATAGAAAGTATATGAAAAAAACATAACATCTGTCCTAATCTAATTTTCAGGCACATCTCCAGTCTTTGATTTGGCTGAAGTAACATACCACAGAGCTGTGGGCATGCCTGGAATTGAGAGAAGCAGTTAAAAGACTCCCAATTGCTTCCTGCCTTTTGAAAACTCCTGAAAATCATCTCTTCGGACTCTGGAATTTTACACAACTCTACTAGGACTTTGCTTGAATGTTTACATTTTCTGCTTGCTGTCCTACAAACCACACTATCTAGTGTTCGCCTTTTGTTAAAACATAGGGGTGTCGGGAGCTTACTTGGCAAGCCAGCATGGCTAGGATGAGCTTTGTTTTAGCAGCTTGCCAGTTGGTGCTGGGCTTGCTAATGACTTCATTAACTGGGTCTTGCTTACAAAATAGTGAGTGTCCACAACTTTGTGTATGTGAAATTAGGCCCTGGTTCACCCCGCAGTCAACATATAGAGAAGCTACTACTGTTGATTGCAATGATCTCCGCTTAACAAGGATTCCCAGCAACCTTTCTAGTGATACCCAAGTGCTTCTCTTACAGAGCAATAACATCGCAAAGACCGTGGATGAGCTCCAGCAGCTTTTCAACTTGACTGAGCTAGATTTCTCCCAAAACAACTTTACAAATATCAAGGAGGTAGGGCTGACAAACCTAACCCAGCTCACTACTCTACATTTGGAGGAAAATCAGATTACAGAAATGACTGATTACTGTCTGCAAGACCTCAGCAACCTTCAAGAACTCTATATCAACCATAACCAGATTAGCACTATTTCTGCTAATGCTTTTTCAGGCTTAAAAAATCTTTTAAGGCTTCACTTGAACTCTAATAAATTGAAAGTTATCGATAGCCGCTGGTTTGATTCAACACCCAACCTGGAAATACTCATGATTGGGGAAAACCCCGTGATTGGAATTCTAGATATGAACTTTAAACCCCTCTCAAATCTGAGAAGCCTGGTTTTGGCAGGAATGTATCTCACTGATATTCCCGGAAATGCCTTGGTGGGCTTGGATAGCCTTGAAAGCCTGTCTTTTTATGATAACAAACTGGTCAAGGTTCCTCAGCTTGCTCTGCAAAAAGTTCCAAATTTAAAGTTCTTAGACCTCAATAAAAACCCCATTCACAAAATCCAAGAAGGGGATTTCAAAAATATGCTTCGACTGAAAGAACTGGGAATCAACAACATGGGGGAACTTGTTTCTGTGGATCGCTATGCCCTTGATAACTTGCCTGAACTCACAAAGTTAGAAGCTACCAATAACCCCAAATTATCTTATATCCACCGCTTGGCTTTTCGAAGTGTTCCTGCTCTAGAAAGCTTGATGTTGAACAACAATGCCTTGAATGCTGTTTACCAAAAGACAGTAGAATCCCTTCCCAATCTTCGTGAGATTAGTATCCACAGCAATCCTCTGAGGTGTGATTGTGTCATCCACTGGATTAATTCCAACAAGACCAACATCCGATTCATGGAGCCGTTGTCCATGTTCTGTGCCATGCCACCTGAATATAGAGGGCAGCAGGTAAAGGAAGTTTTAATCCAGGATTCAAGTGAACAGTGCCTCCCAATGATATCTCATGACACATTCCCAAATCATTTAAACATGGATATTGGCACAACAGTTTTCCTAGACTGTCGGGCCATGGCTGAGCCAGAACCTGAAATTTACTGGGTCACTCCTCTTGGAAATAAGATAACTGTGGATACACTTTCAGATAAATACAAGCTAAGTAGTGAAGGTACTTTAGAAATATCTAACATACAAATTGAAGACTCAGGAAGATACACTTGTGTTGCCCAGAATGTGGAAGGGGCTGACACACGTGTAGTAACAATTAAGGTTAATGGGACCCTTCTGGATGGTACCCAGGTGCTGAAAATATATGTCAAGCAGACAGAATCTCATTCCATTTTAGTGTCCTGGAAAGTTAATTCCAATGTCATGACATCAAACTTAAAATGGTCCTCTGCCACCATGAAGATTGACAATCCTCACATAACATACACCGCCAGGGTCCCAGTCGATGTTCATGAGTACAACCTAACACATCTGCAGCCTTCCACAGATTATGAAGTATGTCTCACAGTGTCCAATATTCATCAGCAGACTCAAAAGTCGTGTGTCAATGTCACAACTAAAAATGCCGCCTTTACACTGGACATTTCTGACCAAGAAACAAGTACGGCCCTTGCTGCAGTAATGGGGTCCATGTTTGCTGTCATTAGCCTCGCATCCATTGCTGTGTATATTGCCAAAAGGTTTAAGAGGAAAAACTACCACCATTCATTAAAAAAGTATATGCAAAAAACTTCTTCAATCCCACTAAATGAGCTGTACCCACCACTCATTAACCTCTGGGAAGGTGACAGTGAGAAAGACAAAGATGGTTCTGCAGACACCAAGCCAACCCAGGTTGACACATCCAGAAGCTATTACATGTGGTAACTCAGTGGACATTTTGCTTCTGGTAGTAAGGAGCACAAAGACGTTTTTGCTTTATTCTGCAAAAGTAACAAGTTGAAGACTTTTGTATTTTTGACTTTGCTAGTTTGTGGCAGAGTGTGGAGAGGACGGGTGGATATTTCAAATTTTTTTAGTATAGCGTATCGCAAGGGTTTGACACGGCTGGCAGCATCTCTAGGCTTCCAGTTTGTGTTTGGTTTTTATTCTTATCATTATTATGATTATGATTATGATTATAATATTATTATTATTATTTTGTTTTAGTTGTTGTGCTAAACTCAATAATGCTGTTCTAACTACAATGCTCAATAAAATGATTAATGACAGGTTGGGGTTCCCCTGTGCTTTTACCAATAGCATGACCCCTTCTTCTGAAGCCATCAGTAGAAAGTACCATGTCCTCCAAAAAGGTAACATACAGTGTGAAGCAGCATTGAACCTTTTGTATCAATCTGGTCTACAGACTTTTAACTCAAGAAGCCAAGGCTAGACTTGTTACCTTCGTTGAATGATGTTAGTTGACTGTACTGTAATGTTGTATCAACTGAATTGAATGTTTGCCTTTGAACAATGATTTCTTTTTTTGTAATAGTTAAGAGGCTTAGAATAAGCTAACAGGCAATAGAAATATGTATATCAGATTTTTTAATGTAACAAACTACATGTTAATTGTTACCTTATTCTTTTTAGTAGACACTTTTAAAAGAAAAGACAATTTTGTTGTGTTTAACTCACCAACATGTGGTGTATAATGAAGACAGAACTATAATAAATTAGTTTTGTTCTGATTTTTTAGAACACTTGCAATAATGTATCATTTATAGTTCTTGCTCGTTGCAGTGGTGATATATTTCACATCCTTTAAACAACCACCAAAATAAATCAAGTAAAGCTTGATGCTTTTAAAACTAGGCCCCCAAAACTTTTTAATTCTTTTTCTAAGGGAAGAAATATCTATTTTCGTGAACATATTTTAATGAAAGGGATTTCTATATTTTAAATATTACTGATGAGACCTAATGGAGGGAAACATCCTTAGGAACAAAAAGGCATATTACTGTATCCCAAGCATCACTAAATGTGGTTACAAAATAGAAACCGATACATTGATCAAGAAATAGATATGTCACATTCCTTTTCTGTAAGAGTTTTGTTAAAATTCTGATATTTTTTAGTAGTATCCATACTCTCCATCAAAGTCTAAAACATACAGTTAGGCAGTATTCCACAATATATTACATGTTATTCATTTTTAAATGGCATTCTATTTGCTTAGACTCTTCTTAGCCCATATATCCATGTGAAGATATCTGCTGAGACAAGTAAATGGTTAATAGAAAACAGAACAACTTCTGTACATTTGGCATTTTTCAGCCAAAAAATATAGAGACTCAGTTTGGCAGAACTAAGTGCTTACTGGAAAATGCATGTGTGAAATTTTGGACAGAAAAAAAAAGATTTGGGTAGAAGGTCAGTTCCACAAAGTATGTGTGTTGGGGGAGGTGGAGGGAAATGAAGATATACTTAGAAGAAAAAGGAACCATTTGAAAATGCAGATTAATAACACAGAGAAATAAAGAAAAGCTGCTCCAGATGGCACCTGCCACCAGGGATAAGCCGGCATACCAGGAACGATAAGATTGTAAAAAGGGACTGAGCTAGCAGGTGGCAGCTGAGTAAAAGGAAGAAGGGAGCAGAAAGAACACGCAGGTGAGGCAAGCAGAAAGGATTTCTTTCTTTGTAAAATTCCTTGTTTCATGAATCATTTAGAGAAAAAGATCGTTTTTCCCATTTCTAAAGGGGAATTTTTTTTCATATGCTGAAGCAAATGAGCCACAGCAGAAAAACAAGTATTTGAGTTAGAAGCATCTCTTCCCACATCCCTCATTTCTTGAGAAAAACCTGTACGCAGAGAAGAATGGTAACTTGCCCTGGTTAGACTCTCCTGCCCATTGAGAACTCTGCACTCCCAGCTATAGCTCTGGGTCCTGCAGTCTTCTGGACTCCCATACACAGAGCTCATTGCTCACAGTCCTCAGCAATCGCTAGCACTCTTGCTTCAAAAACGCTCTATATCCTCAAGTTCTCATTTACTCAGGACAAAATTCAGCACCAGGGCAGAACAGGAGGGTCAGAAAAGCTTCTACATTGTTATTACCAAGTACATGTAGGAAACTGCTTTGGATACAACCTTGGAGAAGTTTCCTGTTGGGTGATTCTTGTCTTCAAATATCTAAAGAGTAGGACACCATCTAGCAAACTCTTGGTAATTATGCAAACAATGAAAGGGGAGACACACTGAAACATCAGACTTAGAGCAGGGAGGAAAGAGGAGGCACTGTTTATCCTATAAAGCAATTATCTGGACCTGGAACATTATCATCACTCAAATATTAGTGGAATAAGTGAAGGAAAACAACCACTTCTCAATTCTGGATATAGCTAGCATCAGGGACTCCAGTGTTTTTGTCAACTAACTTGCTAGGCCAGTTTGGGAGAAACAATCCCTTTAAACTTTTACTCCTCCAATAAAATATTTTGAGCTTATTTTTACTTGTCTGTGCTAATTGGGTTGGTTTTCAGTTGACAGAAAGCAAAATGGCATGGTACTTTTTTCCCTAGACAAGTATTTCTTCATTTGTGCTTAATTCAATTTGATAAGTTAGACAGTCAGTGAAATTAGGCATCAAAGTAGTTCCTGACTGATAATGGAGGTTTTATCACCGTTACCAGTGAAGTGACAATTACAGGACATTTTCTAATTTCATATTTTCCCTTTTGCTTCCTGCTGCCCTCAGGACGTATAATGTATCTCAACCTGATTTTACAAGGTCATTTTTTGAGGTACTACTTAAAACAGGCATTCTCAAATTGGCCTGTTTAATTAATGACAAATTGAACTGATGCCATGAATATAAAAACATGCAATGTTGGAATATCAATTTTTCTAAATTTGGCTGTGGGTTTAGTTTAGCAAAAAGAAATAATCTCCATTCTTTAGCAAACAAACACTACCAAAGTCCATTATTTTCTCTCATGTGGTTTTCTACTCATTCATTCATGCATTCATTCATTCGTTTGCTGAAAACACCACAATCAACTCTTTTTTTTTTTAACTATTTTTTTTAAAGATTTTATTTATTTATTTGTCAGAGAGAGAGAGAGAGAGAGCGAGCACAGGGAGACAGTGGCAGGCAGAGGCAGAGGGAGAAGCAGGCTCCCCACAGAACAAGGATCCCGATGTGGGACTCGATCCCAGGATGCTGGGATCATGACCTGAGCCGAAGGCAGCTGCTTAACCAACTGAGCCACCCAGGTGTCCCCACAATCAACTCTTTACCTGTTGTTTGCTTTTATCTTCCAAAGCATTTTCTTTTCTTCATTCCTGTTTTTATAATGGAGGAAGAAAAATACTTTGTATCTCTAGCACTTTGCCAGGAAAACCATACTTTCTGCTTCGCTGGTCATTGAAAAGGGGAATTTAACTACTTCTGATGCATTCTAACTACAACTGGAAGTGCTTTCTTCACCTCCATCCTTTCACTCTTATCCTGGTTGCAGATAGACTTTATTATTATTATTATTATTATTATTATTATTATTATTTATTCATAAGGGGTTAACTGGAGGGAAAATATTTCTTTAAAGATGAGTTTTAGGGGCGCCTGGGTGGCTCAGTGGGTTAAAGCCTCTGCCTTCGGCTCAGGTCATGATCCCAGGGTCCTGGGATCGAGCCCCGCATCGGGCTCTCTGCTCAGCAAGGAGCCTGCTTCCTCCTCTCTCTCTCTGCCTGCCTCCGCCTACTTGTGATATCTCTCTCTGTCAAATAAATAAATAAAATCTTAAAAAAAAAAAAAAGATGAGTTTTAGAATCACCCTGCAGAGCTGTAGAATTATCTTGACCTAAAATCTCTGTAGGGCATGCTTTCTCTGCCTTCCCCACCTGCCCCCACATACACTGAGATTGGCTCCTTCTCTCTGAACACTTAAGTCAGAAACTTGGGACCTAGGATAAAAATAAGGAGATGACAATGGAACTCGTTGTTTCTGTACTTGTTGGTTTGGCATTGTCCAGCACATGTTAACAGAACCAAATGGGTTTTTTGTTTTGTTTTGTTTTGTTTGTATTGTAGAATTCCTCAGACTTGATGGCACTAACATAAAGTCAACAGCATTTCCCACAGCCATTCACCATTGGTGTGTCTCAGTACTATTCCATCCTACAGATCCTGAGAAGTTGAGGATTTAATTTGATCCCCCAAACAATTCTGGTGAGCTGGGTATTATTCTTTACAATTTACAGATAACTAAAGTCCATAGGAATAGTCATTTGCCTGACACCATAAAGCTCTGTAAGTGGGTGACCATTAAGGGGCCTTCACTTGTAGCTTCCTCTTCCTCTATCCAGCTCCCTTCTAAAGTGGAGAGAGGAGCATCTGTGAGAGGGCAGAGGCTGGAGGTCACAGGGCACATGGATAAGGCAGAATAAATATGCCAAGGAGAGCTAATGGGCGATGACATTGAAAGCTTTCTTTATGTCTTAAAATGCACTTCTCTCCTCCCCATTAAGAAGCTTTCTTTGCTGGAGAGCTGTGGTCTACACATCAAAACTGTTTACATCAGGCTAAACTTGAATTCTAATCTCCAATTCCCTCTGTACTCTCCTCTCTGTTACCTGCTCAGAAAATGAAAGTTTTAAAGATTCTGTGGAGGAGATTCCAAGTTCATTCTTTCCTCAGCAGTAAAACAGGGAAGGCGAAAGTAAAATCACTAACAAACTCGGTGTTTAGCTCAAAAGCTAATGTGAGGATATGTGAAGTTCATGTAATAGGGTAGTTGTAAGGGTGGTATGTGACATACCTGGAAACAAAAGGCTTTGGTACAGTCACCAAGTTTGTGGAGTTTGTGGAATATTTATACTCAGGAAACTGTTACCTCAAATAAGTCCATCTGGAGGCCGTAGGACATTAAAAAGTTGTCTTTTTTTTCCCCCTAATAAATGCAATAGCCTCCCCAACATATCCCATTGTCAGTTACATGCTACTTTTTATGAAGCAAAACCAGTCTCCCACACCTCACCAAAGTAGCTCCAGGGACAACGTGGCTCAGACATCGCCACTTTTCTCCTTTCCTCCTTGGCCTCCCTCTTTGTCCGTGGGATTAAATGACAAGGTAAATTTTAGCCTGGGTCCTGACAGAATGGTTGTGAATTCCTAATAAGGGGGATGTCCTGAATTAAGTGGTATTTTAATGCATCAGTCTTCTTATTAGCCTGTCTCACTAATATAATAAACAGAATACAGGGTAGTCATGGGGGAAGGAAAACAAACCATTTACCATAATGACTTCTGAAGGAATAAGGAGGGAAAGGCACTGTATATAGCTCTCCCCTAGGCGCTTCACATAGATCATTTACATTTAATCCTCTTGATTGCCCCCAGGAGGTGAATCTTATTGTCCCTACATTAGAGAATGATAAAAATGGGTACTCAGCCTCAGAGATGGAAGTAACTTACCTGAAACCAGCTAGTCTGATGTCTACATGACTAAAACTTAGAGTTATTCACTTATAAAATGGTCTGCAAGCTAAATCTGGATCAGGCATGTAGAACACATACCCCAAAAGTCAGTTTGTCCCTTGAGACAGAAGGGAGGAAAAAGAAGCACAGAGAGGAATGCCCACAGTGAGGCATCTGAGTTACAGGGGTCTAATGTAAGGCCTAAACCTGAGATTAATACATGGAAATAACAGCAAGCCAAAGAGAGGGGAAAGCAGAGGACAATTTTTCAAAGTTTGTGACAACATCTGCATACAAACCAATGGAAGACAGTGAAGCTGCAGAAGAAAAAATTGTTTAAAAATGGTGGGGTGGGGGGCGAGTCTGAGTAGATTATATATTGCTCCACGTGAAACACGAGGCATATTCCAGATGTGCTAAGCACTTGACCTGTATTATTTCATGTAAACTTTAATAACTTTATGAGTAGGTAGTGTGGAGGCCAAGAAAAACAAGGCTGTACCCACCTCGAGTCTAGCCCTGACATAAGTACAGCCATCTTGGCAAAGCAAAAGCTGGCACCTTGCACCCCCTCTCCACCCACTCCCCTCCGCTCGGTAGTATATGTGAACAAATAGTTACCTTGTAAAAAAATCACAATCCTGCAAGACAGGAGTCTCCCTCGGTTTACAAATGTCCCAGTGCGAAATCTTACTAACAAGGATGCTTGATAGGAGGAATGTGACATTCCACCAGGAAACTCCCAACTGTCTTCATGCTAGTGCCTCATTAGAGGGAAAAACGGCCTTGGCTTGATAGTAACCAGGCCTTCAATATCCTGACAGTCTTCTTTACCATGATAGTCCTTCTGAATATCCCCTTTGTTCTCACCCATCGCCAAGCCCACCCCTATTCTGCCTTTAAAAACTCTGACTGTAATCTGGTTCAGGGTCCAAGTCCCCACTCCGCTGCGTCGGGTATACTTGGGCCCAAGCTGAAGCTTGTCAAATAAACCCTCGTGTGATTGCATCGGTACTTGACTCCTGGGTGGTCTCTCAGACACGAAAACTCGGGCACAACAGGTAGATCTCCGTTTTTCACATGGAGAAGCTGAGTTTCCAGGTTGAGCTCCGTTTTTCACATGGAGAAGCTGAGTTTCCAGGTAGATCTCCGTTTTTCACATGGAAAAGCTGAGTTTCAGTTCACCAGTCATTATGGATGAAGCCCAGGTTTCAACCCTGGCTGTCGGATTCTAAGACCCAAGATTAATCAACCCCTAAACTCTTTTCTAGAGGAAGAGGCTCTCCGAGTGCTGGGCTGGCCTTCTCATTTGCTTGATCCATTTAGTTCTTTCCCAAGAGTGGGAAGCAAGGAAAAGAGTAGGTTTCCTGATCTGTCTAGGATCTTTCATGGGCCTTCCCACAAAACGTTTGTTAACATGGAATTAATGCAATAGGCGTAAGTAAGAGGAAAAATGCTGCCTTGGTGTTTTTCTTTTGTAATCCTTAGTCACACATTTTAATAACATCTCTGATCTATATTTTAAAGCTATTCCACATTATTCAAGGCAAAGATTTGTTCTGATTTCCTATCTAATCTAATCTTAATTTTCCTGTCAATCATTCCAGAGTATGGGGTGCAGGGAGGATACAATCCCCAGAGAGCTGTTAAAGGGGAAAGTTTTATACCTAATCTCGTATCTTTGTGATCTCAATAGCCCTTAATTAAAAAATATATTACTCTCTATCTTCTAAGAGGTAAACT